TCTTAGCACAGAACCATCGCCTGACATGCTGGTGCTCTGGCAACGTTGAAAGCTGAATCGCCTTGGCCCGCCGACGCAGGCCGCTCTGAATGAATGCGTCGGCAAGCTCAGAAATCTGCTGAGCCAGAACGGCTGTCCAGGTTGGTTGGTGCGAACTTGCGCATGAGGAACGCCCGAAACGAGTGCCCGAACGGATCCCTCGAACCTTTGGGGGACTTGCGAGGCTTGCGAGCGGGGCCCACGCTGAGACACCGTGCGAGAATCCGCGCGCATCTGGAGCTCCAAGTGGAGGACCGCAGGAGGGAACCCAAGTCGGAGAAATTGCCGAGCTGAGGGGCCCCATTGCATCCCGTTGAAGAACTCCTGCATGTCGATGTAACCATCGCCGAACGCGAGTCCCAATCTGTACAGAAGGGCGCGAAGGAAGGCCTCGTGGAGCGCGGAGTTCCCCGCAATGGCTGCGTCCCAGGCCGGCTCGGAATTTTGGAACCAAGAACGGACATCGTCGTCACGGGAAAGGGACCAGGTCCTAGAGAACATCGACATGAACCCGATAATTGTGACCCCCCCCCGCGTTGCTTCCCCTGGAGTTCACCCACCGCCAGAAGAAACTGCCAAGAAAAGGTGAGGCACTACTCACAAGGCACTAGGTACTCAACAAGCTTGAAACAAGGCCGTGAGTTCGTCACGCCCAGCAGGGGGGAGGCGTTCCATATTGGCTTGGGCCAGTTGGTCCAACCCGAGTCCTGCTTTCGTTGTCATATAATGCAGGGATCGCTTGACTTGGTTATGGCCAAGCGGTGCAAGCTCTTGGACTCGAGCGGCTTCACGGACCTCGTCAAACCTGGCGAGCAGCATTCAAATCCAGCGCTTGCGGTCGCCATACATTCTTCATTTTCTGAGCTCTCTGATCTGTTAGTACAACAAACCTTCAAACCATACGTCTGTCGTGAACCGGAGGCATTTGCTTGAGCGAGAGGTGGAGAACCCCAGGGGCCTCAGGATCAACGGGCGATACAATCCCGAAAATCCGGGAGAGACTTTCCCAGCGCCAGTCGTTTGGCTCAATTTCAACCCGTTATGGCCGTGGAGAATCAGGGACCGAGGTTAGAGGGAGTAAGACAAGCAGGACGGAGAGACCATGTGAGGAGACAGGAGGAGGGAGGAGATGAAGATGAAAGTTGTAGGAAGGAGCAGGGGTTGCGGAGCTGTCCAGCAGGCTCATCTCGTCATGGCAGTGCCTTCTCGTAGAGCACAGAGCACCTGGGTGTGTATGGGCGCGCTCGCTGCGACATCCTCGCCAGGGTGGGAGGGGATCAGGAGGAGGAGGAGGAGGAGAAAGGGAGCCTGATCAGGAGGAGTTGTGGATGGCAGGGGAGCGTCAACGTCTAGCCCCTGCGTCTGCGCCGTCGGAGGACGAGGAGGACGAGGAGGAGTAGGAAAAGGAAAAGGAGGAGAAGGAGGAGGACGAGGAGGTGGAGGAGGAGGTGGAGGAGGAGGAGGAGGGAGAGGAGGAGGAGCAGGAGGACGCAAGAATGACCCTGGATAAGAGTGAAGAATGCCTCGTGCTCCCCCCCTTCGCTCCTCCAGACATCGGAGGCAGGACCTACTCCTCCAGCGTCCATCGTCCGTCCTCCCTGCTCCCGCTGTCCTCCCCGCTTGCTTCCCGCACTCTTCCCTCGTCCCTCTTACCACCTCGCCCTCGCATATCATTGAACAGGGGATGGAGTCAGTGGTTGGAAAAACGGGCGTGGGAGGGAGAGAGAGAGGGAGAGAGAGAGTGTGAGAGAGAGAGGCGGAGTACGAGGACAGAGGAGGGCGGAGGAGGACACTGACAAGCATGAGAGCGGAGGAGGCAGAGGACTTGGAGGACGATGGCGATAACGCGATAGGGCGGCGACGGGCACACAGGGCGAGGGTGAGACAGAGAGGAGGAGGGGAAGGAGAAGCATGGGAAGGAGGAGGGACGGAAGGAGGGGAAGGAAGGACGAAAGGAAGGAAGGACGTAAAGTAGGAGGAGGAGGACGAGGAGGAGGATCATCAGCAGGAGGAGCACAATGAGTTCATAGATTTCCAGAAGGCTTCAGAGCACGCCTCACACTTGGGTCTCGTGAAAGCTTGGGTCACAACCCTCATTGAAATTGAACGCAAGTTTTTTCAACCCCCGTCGTCGAAATTGAACGCAAGTTTTTTCCACCCCCGTCGCCCCCAAATTTCAATGTTCATCGACAGGCGCATCGCGGCCGGCGGGGTCCGAAGAAAATCTCGAGGTCGCCGGCGTCGGCGTGAACATTGGAATTGGGGGTCGGGGGGCGCCGCCAGGTCGCGGCTAAAACTTGCGTTCAATTTCGACGAGGGATGTAGTACTGAATTGGTGTGAGGCGATCGGCGTTGCTAATAACGATCGGCTCAGAGCCGAGGGTATTGCAGTTGGGACGTACCCTTTCCGACTTTTCGAATCGGCCAGGGTACGTTCGCAGGATGTGCGGTTGCGCTTTTTTGTTCTTGGGATTTGTCTCACGGCGTCCATCGATTATGTCCTAGGTCAGGCGCCATCGCTGTCAGTTTTTGGTTGTTGACGGCAGCTCGCTCACTGCCACGGTGCCGAGCAAAATAGTCTACCGCACATTGGCGCGATGAGCCAACATGCTCTGCCAGATGTTTTGGGACTCGGGTCTCAAGAGCTCCCCAACCAAGAATCTAAATACGGCCACCACCCCTGCTCTCGCCAGGGCCTCGGCGGCCCGTATTCAGTGGAGGTTTGAAGCCGAAAACGGTGTCAAGCATCTCGGGGTTCGACGTTACCGCTGGTCCCGAAATACCCTTTCTTTTCGAGCCGGGTCAGATTGCCCAGCTCGAGCATGAAGGGTATTTCCCGTATTCTTAAGACAGGCGGCAATTTCGCCGCGCTGTACCAGAGTTCTTGGCATCTCGAAGGCGTCTCCCTCGGCGCTTCGGGCGGCTGCGGGAGCAGCCTGCTTCGGTCCAATTGCAGGCAAGTCGGCAAGTCGCGTACCAGTCCGTTCCTTTTGAGTCTGGATCTTCAGACGAACCCCATCTACACAGCCAACGCGTTGTCCCTTGTGTTCTGGGGGCGTTCTTCGAAGGATGGGACAGGGCCACCTTGCCTAGTAGTTCTTTAGGCTCAGGAAACTTTGAACGGCGTCGTCCGAGGACCCTGCTTGGCCGTGCTGGCCACCCTTGCCAGGCTGGGGTGGGCGGCCGAGGGGTTCGACCGTTGGTTGATGCAGATTTGTCATGGGTCTGTCGGAGGTCCTCCCTGGCTCGCTGGGAAAAAAATCCAAAGTTGCCATTGAACGAGCCCTCTTGCAGAGCCCTCCTGGGTCGACAGGTTTGGAGCCCTTGGGGGGGCGCCCCGCTTCTGGATCCCACCAGGCGTACTCAGGCCCAACTCCGAAGGCCACAAGTCGGGGGCTCCGTTGCTTGCAACCCATGTCGCGGGAGGGCTATAGACGCAACAGAGATCATATGAGAGTAGGTCTGTCAGCTCACCACACACTCTGTGCGGTGTGCAGAGTTGCCCTTGGGACTGCACGCCATCTACATTTGGTGCCGTATGTTGTTCCAAGATCGCCCTTGACGGTCTCGATTTTGATGATGTTGCCCGCGAGGGAAGCCAGTGCACCATCCATAGCCTCCTCCTATTCAGAGGCCTCGCTGGTTTGTTTCCTTCGTCTCCAGCCGCCGCCGTCGCAGCCTGGAGTGATTCGCAACGATGGTCCCATGCAGGGAAGGACCTTCGTGGGACTGATCCGCACAGACGGCTCGTGTTTCAGCCCTGACTTTGCACACGCGAGCCGCGCAGGCTGGTTATGCGTGGCGGTAGACAACCACGTGGAATATCGTGGGGCTGTCTTCAGGACTACCGACAGCGTTGCAAAAAATAGGCTTCGCGGAAGGCGTTGCAGCACTCCTGAGGAGAAGTAGTCATCCTCATGGATTGCAGAGCGGTTTACGTTATTTTTTGCGCGGGCCTTGAATTTTGTTGCAGGCCAACGAGGCTTTATTCTGAAGTTTGGATGCTTTATTCTGAAGTTTGGGCCCGCGTTTGGGACAACGTCCCGAACACTGAGCTCGAACACATTCAGGTGCGTTGGGTCTTTTCTCACATATCGTGGAAGGAAGCGCAGGCTAGATGTGTGTAGGGGCTCCAGCTTCGGTCGAACAAGTTTGCACGTGCCCGCCAAGTGCGGAGCCAGAGGTCACCCTTCTTATGCTGATGTCGAATGGAAGCGCCCCCTGTTGTGGTGAGCGGCCAGGTTTGTCTCTCGACTATATTGCCCGCGTTCTTTCCCATCTTGCGGCCGCTGTCTTCCCTGATGCCGAGAAGCCTCGGTCTCCGTCATGTGCTTGGCCCGCTCGAGTTCGTCTCGGATCCAGGCACCTGGTGATGTTCAACGCTGGCCGCTTGGGTTGCCTTCGGTGCGGGCACAGTTGTGCCTCTCGTGCAAGGCCGTGTCGCTCCCGCTGCCCAGATTTGCCGTCCAGGTTTGCTCAAGCCCAATCCTAGTCACAGGTTGTGGTGTGCGGGCGGGTGGGAGGACGGGATCCTCTCACTCCGAGAGCGTTGCCCAAAGCACACCGCCGCAGGCCGCAGGAGCGCGCTCAAGGCCTTCAAGCGCGGCATCGACCCATCCACCCAGCGTCCCCTCCCCGCCAGGTCTTCGCCCGTGGCTCCTCCGCTTGACTTCCGTCGAGCGTCATGGAGCCAGGGCCTGCGCGACGCGTTGAGCGAGTCGAGGTGCCTTTTTAGGTTTTGCGCCTTTCGGTCCCCTGGAGGTTGCGGGCCTCTGCAGGCCCTGGTGTCAGTGCGGGGGTGTGCTGGATTGCAAAGGTTCCCTCATGGGGGCCTTCGCCGAAGCAGCGGAGAGCGGAAACGGGAGCACGACGAGGACGAGCGGGAGCCTGGAGGGGCGGCGCGGCGGCCCGCTCCCCCCCCCCCCACCCCCCCCCCCCTCCGGACCCGCCCTGCGCCGCAGGAGCGTGACGCCGCCGCGGCAGGCGGGCTGCGCGGCACGACGACCGCCCCCCCCATCCCCCCTCTTGTTCTTCTTGGCAGGATACGATTATTGTTCGTATTATGGGTATCCTTTTTCTTATGGTTATTGCTATTACTATGTTTATGCTGCGACTTTTGATTCTTATTGTTCGTATCCGTATGTTTCTTCTTCGTGTTGCTCTGTATAGTATTATCATGACTGTTTGTTGCAATTCCTCTACTTCTTATCGCGGGTTCCTCTTCTTCTCTCTTTGTTGAATTATTATGTCGTATTGCTCTTACTTCACCCCTTCCCAGACCCCGCGCGTCGTGGCAAAACCACGACGGGCTGTTTTTGCGGCGCTCTGCCTCCGGTGGCCCGCGCGTGGCCTCCCGACCGTCAAACAATGCTCAGGGTGGTAAATCGGTCCCCGGGAAAGGGTCCATGACGTCGGGGATTTGGGCTCCAACGGCACCCATCGAATCGACGCGTCGCCACGGCTGGGTTGTCTACGCCATTCTCGTCAGAAAGCACCCCGGGCGAGGTATTGGGAGTAGCAGTAGCAGTATAGGTATATATATATTGCTATGAAAGAAGCCTTGGCCGACATCATTTTTGTTGCTTGCCCGGGGCGTTGTTGTCGTTATTGGGTCATTGCTTCGTTCTGAGAGTCATCAAGAACATTCCGCTGCAGTCCTGTAGGAATGCCGGCACGGCCGGTCCCTGCCCAAAGGTGGGGGTGTGTATATCTTTGTACGCTACTCTTTCAGCCAGTGTATTGGTTTAGTCTTTGACGTTGACACATCAGTTATTGTCGTGTTCTGAGGAGAAACCCGTTGAGGTCATCATCCTAAGAATCTCGAGCAGGGGTCCACTCTCTGATCCCTTTTGATCCCTTTCTCCAACACACAGGGGGGGGGGGGGGGGGGCGAGTGCTCGTGGCAGGCGCGGGTGCCCAGCCAGCTCACGCCGCGCGCGGCGTCCCCCGCCGCAGGCGAGCAGCTGCGGGCGGACAACGCCAGGCGGCGCGGGACGGGAGGGACGGAGTGGCGGCGGAGATGGTGGGCGAGGAAGGACTTTGCCCCCCCCCCCCCCCTGCCGCCTCCCCCCTCTTGTTCCTGCCTCCTGCTGCTTTGGACCCTCCCCCATCCGCCCCCTTCCCTGCCTCAGGCCAGAAGTTGGGGGGGGGGGGCTTTTTAATCTGGGAGGAGGGGTGGAGGCAGGGGACGAGGAGGGGGGGAGGGAGAGGAGTGGAAGAGAACGGGAGAGGGAGAGGGAGGGCAGATGGAACAGGAAGAGGGGGAGACGGGTCGGGGGCGGTAGTTTCATGGCAAGAGAGGAAGGGGAAGATGGAGAGGGAGGGTGACGTGCAGAAGGGTCCCCCCGCATCTTCCTTCGCCTTTCGCGGGGATGGTTATGATGATCTCGATGGTTATGATGATCTTGACGCTGATGGTGATAATGATGATGATGATGAGGAGGAGGAGGAGGAAAGTGAGGATGAGGATGATGATGAACATGTTAATGGGGATGTTGATGATGATGCGCATGATGATGATGATGATGATGATGATGATGATGATGATGATGATGATGGTGATGAGGATGATGAGGATGTTGATGTTGATGATGGTGTTGACTATGCTGATGCTGATGATGATGCTGATGATGATAATGATGATCATCATCATCATGACGATTATGCGGAGGATGAGGAGGATGAGGGGAGGAAGAGGAGGAGCATCAGGAGATCGGGGATACTGTCGGCGGGAGCCGAATTTGGCTTGCCTAGGGGGTTCTTACTGGGTTCAAGTTTGGTGCCTCCTATTGATACTTTGCTTGTTGCTCGGAAGCTCCTTGGGTTCCTCGGGTTTCTCGGATTCCTCGGGTTCCCCCCCCCCCCGTGCCTTTTATTGTTGCGTTGCCTGTTTCCCGGAGATTCGTCGGATTGCTCGGGTTCCTCGGGCTCCCCGCCCCCGGCGCCTCCTATTGTTATCTTGCTCGTTCCTCGGAGGCTCATCGGGTTCCCCAGGTTCCTCGGGTTCCCCGCCGCCACCACACCTGACTCGACCGTGTCACGCGTTCGCTGGTGCACGCACATGTAACCATGCCACTACGTCGGTCTCTACCATGCCACGCGTTCGGTGATGCTCGCAGCCGTGTGGCTCAAGCGCGCCCGGGGGCTCCGGGGCTGCCATCCGCCCGGTCGCGATGCTATCGCTCCCACAGAGGGATTCTGAAAAGCCCGCAAGCCGAGCAAGCCGAAACAACGCAGATGTGTTCCAAGAGGTCGATTGGGCGATCCGACGCATGGAGCACCCACGCAATCCGGGGTTCCGTGCGGAGGTACCTACTTCCCAACCGCCATCGTTACCAGCGCAATCGGAGCACTCCCATGCAGTGGAACGCAATTCCAAGCAATGCCGAGCAACGCCAAGCAATGCAAAGCGATACCAAGACATGCAAAGACATGCCACACAATGCCGAACTGTGCCAGATAATTCCCAGCAGTGCCAAGCAATGCCAAACAATGCCGAGCAATCGCGAGCGACGCCCAGCAATGCAAAGCAATGCACAGCGGTGCAAAGCTTTGCCGAGCAAAGCCAAGCAACGCGCCCGCGCAGCGCGAAATTGCCCCCTTCTTGCTGGGGCCGCGTCGGGTCGATACTTTTATTTGCGGACGCGCTTCCGCGGCGGGGGTGGGTTAGAGCCCCCGAGGAGCGGAGGGGTGGTGGGCGATTGAAGAGAACGGAGAGGGGGAGCGGGGGAGGAGGCGGACTTGCCGCGTTCCCCGCTCCCCCCACCTCCGCCCCTTACTCTCTCCGCGGTCTTCATCCTGTGGGTGGGGGGGGGGGAAAGGAGAGTGGAGAAAATGGCCAGGGATGGGGGGGAGATATGTAGAGGCCTTCGGCCCATCCCGCCACCATGCCTGAGTCGTTGACCAGAGGTGTCTGGGGTCCTCTCGGGGACTCTTGGACGTCCCTCGGAAGCCCCTTGGGGACTTGCCTTCCCTGGATACCTCTCGGGGGCCTCTGGGTGCCTCGGGGGGGCGCCGCCGAGATCGTGGAATCGGTCGCGGATCTCCACTTGGGCTGGGGCGCCCCATATCGCATTCCATCTTGGGGGCCCCTTTCGAGGCCCCGTGACTGTCCTAAAGGCCGCCGCAATGCCCATACAACTTTTCAAGGAACCCAACTCAATCGAAAGCGTAAGGGCTTCTTCTGGCGTTGAAATATGTTTTGCGTGTTTCATGAGTTGTGGAATCCGATTTTACGGACGAACTGTCGCCCCAATGTGGTATCGCAGGACCGCGCGGTTCCCCAGAGATCCAGCAGTGCCAAGTATGGCCCAGGATTGCCCCAGCAGTGTTCCAGGAGGGCTGAAGACGGCCCCTCGCGGAGCCCAAAACGGCCCCAAGAGGGGCCTAAGACGGTCGGGGGGGTCGCCGACGCGACAGCAAATCCCAGAGAAGCCCGTGCGCCAACCAGACGGGCCACCGGAATAAGGCCCCAAACATTCCCAAGAGAGCCCCAAACAGTTGCTGGGGGGCCCCTGTAGAGCCCCCTGCAGGCCCGCATGGCGCGCCCAACAAACCACGCGGACGCCTCCCACAGGCCGCCGAACAGGACGAGGTAGAGGGGAGTAGGAGTTGATGGAATAATCACCATAACAGTTCCTCAGAGGCGACACAAGCACCACAGGATAACTTCAGTGCTGGCCCACATGCCCACAGGGGCACAAGACAACCCCACGATGACCTTTCCCTCCTTGTCCTCTCCCTTTATTCCTCCTTCTTGCCACTTGCTTCCAACTCACCTCCCCCCTTTGCCTCGTCTTCCCAGCGCCCCCACTGTCCACGGTAAAGTCGGGCACCCCTGTGCGTCCAAGGGTCTGGTGATTCTCCGTCGGGTGAGGACTCGCCAGCTAACGGCCCGCCCGTACGCGCGCGCGGTGCGCGCAGGTATGCCGCATTGGAGTTGTCGGCGGCTTTTACCCGTTTGCTTCTCGCGCTACCACCGAGTTTGGCTCGCGTTCGGGCTCGCCACCTCTTGATGCGGTGGGCTTTGATCGTCCGGGTGCTCTTTCTTAGCTGGGCTTCGGTGGAGCTAGTCAGATTGCCCACCTGCAGATCAGTTGGTAGCTTCTCTGGTTTCCAATCGCATAGGAACGCCGTCAGGCGGGTGGGTCGCTGCTTCTGGGCGAGGACACGACGCAGGCCGCGACCCATGCGCGCATGGATTGCTCCCGCGCTTGCGGATGGCTGGTTTCGCTCGCGCCGTGGCTCGCCTCGTAAGCTGCCGAGTATGTCTTGATAGCCCTAAGCTCCCGCCGTAGTTGATGCATGATGTCTAGACCTACGGTGGCGCGCCTGGCCACGCCGTGTGCAGGGTGGACTAGTGGTGCGGCGTGGGGAATTTGGAGGCGTGATTTTCTGCGTCGGATGCTTTGCGGTGTCCTGCGTTGGCGGAGCTCTGCGTTGAAGGCGCGCCGCGCTTGGTTCGCCAGTTCTTCCATGCCGTTAGCTACGATCGCCTCATCTCTGCGCGCCCGGCATGCTTGTTCAATGCGGTTTCCCGGGGTTTTCTGTTCATGCTCGTCCATCGTCGGATAGGCTCGAACGCGTGGCGCAACGGTCGTCATTTCCTTAGCAGGATGTCCACAATGTTATTCGGCGCGCGCGGGGCGGGGAGGGGAGGGGGTGCAGGAGGGCGAAGTTAGCGACGAGTCTACCTTTGCTGTTAGCCTAGATGCAGTTTATGCGCGTCCCGCCAGTGCTGGGTGATCTGCGGCCCCAGTAAACACCATGACCACATGTGCAGGCTCGGTTGTCTGGGCACCCCTTTGTGACGCTGTTCCAACAAAGAGTGAAGATGTGCGCGAGAAACGCAGAGTCGTTGATGGCGCACTGGGAGTCCACGCGCATGAATGCGGCGCATCTCCTACTCTGTTCGCCGCATCCCAGGCTCGGTTGGAGAGGGCAGCGTTATCGGAGCCAGATTGGGCGCATACAGATGCAACGTAGATGCTTTCAGCGGTAGCCTTGCAGCCTTTTTGCGCCCCCCCGTTCTTAGCCCAGCGGCGGTGGGCGGGGAAGGAACGGGAAAGGAGGCTTCCGCCCATCGCGTGGTCGCGAGGAGGGCACTGTCATTTTCCGAAGTATTGACGAGAGCTCTTAAGGCCTCAATACATGCGCCACTGCGTCTGGCTGCTGAGGGTCGCAACCTGTGGTCAGCACCCCCTCCGTGGCCCTTGCGGGCTGCGTGGTCATCTGCAGGGCTGCGCCCCCAAACAGGTCGCCAGGCTCCGTTCTCTCGTGAACGGATGTTCCTGTCGAAGGTGCGGGGGCGATCGGCGGGGTGGCGGGCTTCTTGGAAGGCGAGGATGGTCGCCCATAGTGTTCTCGAAGCTTGGTGGGGACATTCCAGTCGGCATCCAGGCTAGAGGCGTTGGCACCGACGAGGTGGGCCATATGCGGGCCGCCCCCGTCCATGGAGCCAGGGCCACCCCTGGCTTTGCGGCTGCGTCGCGAGGCGCGGGGCTGCCGGCGACGACTTGTGCCGGGCTCACCCGTTCCAACCTGGCACCAGGATGGGGGGCGAGAATCGCGCCAGGGGCGGGGTGGGGGGCAATGCAAATGCCCGCCGCAGGTCCCGATCCGAGGAGCCAAGGACAAAGAGGAACACAGAGCGGCGGCGGCGGCAAGCACGGAAGCGGCAGCCGCGACTACGGACGCACCCGAAGCAGCCGTCGTCGCTACGGTCGTTTGCATGGGCAGCAGCTCGGGCGCTCACATATCAGCGCGCCCCGCTCCGTCGTGCCTACCGCGACCTGCTCATCGGCCGCAGCGTCGCCGTCGCCGTCCATGTCGCGAGCAAGGACGGTTGGCTGTCGGTGTAGGATCGGAGTCAGCGCTGTCGATGTTCAGGCGGACCTGTTGGGTTACCCGTCGATCCTGGTGGACATTGGGGGGCCTGGTGTATCCCTGGTGCCACGGTCACCTCCCACGTCTTGGGGACAGGTG